GAACCCGCCACCTTAGGTGTACGTGGCTGGCGCCTTAGCTGGTTGAGCTATAGGCACCGAGCCCGGCTTTGTTCTCTTCATCCCATTTCTCTTCTCATGCCCCAGACATGCCTGCCAGTCTTCCCTGGTACTTGCTGGGAAGGCTCTTTTCTTTCCTTCCCTCTTCCTTTTTTATTTTTTTTTTTAATTAAAAGTTAACTGAGCTTCAAGGATGAGTTAATAAAAATGCAGTAATGATGAACTTAAAGAGTAAAAATGGAGTCTCGAATGAACATGGTGTGAATGTTCATTAGCCAGTTGTTTCCAGGTTGTACTGGCCACTGTCTTTGAGCCACTGAGAGCCCTGACCCGTGCATCTGGCTCCAACAGCATTTCCAAGTCTTCTCTGTAGGAAGGTGGGGAGATGCCAGCACCTGGGTGAGAGTGTGGAGGACCCTAGGGTCCCAGTGCCCTCCCCGTTCAGCTCCCGTTGCCTGTCACTTAGGGGCCCCACGTGCCCCCAGCCTGCTCACTGCCACTCTGGCCTCTCCCTTCCATCCTTTCCCACAGAAATCATGTCCTCATCCCTGCTGAGGCCTCATGCCAGGGCTGGGAGGGGCTGTGGGGATGCAAGAGCCTCGTCCTAGGTCAGCTGAAAAAGGGTGTGCTGCTGGCTATCTCTCCCTGGCCTTGCCCTTCATCCACCTCCCCAAAAATTCACACCCTCTGGGCCCTCTGCAATCTAAGTCCTGTTCTTCTGAGCCCAAAGCAGCCTGGGGGAGCTCCCACCAGGCCTTGTGACCCCCAGAGCTCCTGTTGTGTTTAAGGCCTCAAGCTGGGCTTCGGCCATGTGGCCTCTGTCCCTGCAGACCCCACCCTTACTGTTACTCTGTGGTCACATTAATCCAAGGGGATGAGCTGACCTGTTTAGGCCATCCAGGCTCAGAGCTGCTAGCAGGGTAGGGGCCCACGTGTGGGGTGTGCCCTACTGTGCTCATGTGACTGATGCCCCGTTCTGTGCTTCTCCACAGGCTTCACCATGTAGCAGGCTCCAGGCTGTCATTCTTAGGTAAATACAATTTTAGCTATTTTTTTTTCTCCTTTCATTGTCTGTGAATTGGCAAGCTTTACTTTGAGTTATACTTTGTGAGTATATTATAGCCGTAGAAAAAGTCAGTTCCTTACGTTTCCTTTCGTACATCCTGTCTGATGACTGATTCTGGAATTATTTCTCTTTCTTCATATTTTTCTCCTTATTAATATTTCTACTATTTGCCACATGAGACTTGCTAAGGATTCTAGTAAGAACTTCACATTGGGGCTTGCCACCTGTAGCTTAGCGGCTAGGGTGCCAGCCACATACACCAGAGCTGGCAGGTTCAAACCCAGCCTGGGCTTGCCAAACAATAATGACAATTACAACAAAAAAATAGCCATGTGTTGTGGTAGGCACCTGTAGTCCCAGCTACTTGGGAGGCTAAGGCAAGAGAATCGCTTAAGCTCAAGAGTCTGAGGTTGCTGTGAGCTGTTGACTCTACCGAGGGCAACATAATGAGACTTTGTCTCAAAAAGCTAATTTATAGCTTTCATACGAAAGCTGTAACCCAATTATAGCCCAAGAATATGGGGAAAGGGGAAAGTGAGGGGATGGCAGGGGAGGGGGAAGATGGGTGGAGGAAGGGTAATTGGTAGGACCACACCTACAGTGCATCTTATAGTACATGTGAAACTTACTAAAGTAGAATATAAATGTCTTAACACAATAACTAAGAAAATGCCACGAAGGCTATGTTAACCAGTTTGATGAAAATATTTCAAATTGTATATAAAATCAGCACATTGTACCCCATGACTGCATTAATGCACACAGCTATGGTTTATTTATTTATTTATTTATTTATTTTTATTAAACATAGCATTGTACATTAATACTATCATGGGGGTACAGTGTACTGCTTCTGTACACAATTTGAAATACTTTCATCCAACTGGTTAACATAGCCTTCATGTCTTTTTCACAGTTAATTTTAAAAAAAGAACTTCACAATGGGATTGTAGCAGGCGCATGTGACATGACATGAAATAATAGATCCGTTTTCTGTGCCAGAAAATGGACAGAGAGCAGGGCCCAAGAGGACGGTGCAGCTGTGGGCCGGAGTGTAGAGCAAGGCAGGAGTGTTGTGCTGGAGTGGTGGCCTGAAGCCCCCATGCCCCCGCAGAGGGACGGACAGGCAGACGTCTAGAGGAGGTGAGCCTGCCCTTTGCCCCTGCTGCAGTGCCACTGGACTGCACTATGGGGTGGAGTAGCGATTGCAAGAAGCCTCGTGGTGTAGGACATATTTCTCTGCTAAATGTTCCTGGCAGTCCTGACGTATGTCCACCTCCCTTTGAGAGTCAGAGGTAGATCAGGCTGTGGGGGCCTCAGTTCTGGGTGGCCCCATGCTATGCAGAGGACCCTGTGTCAGGGGCACACTGCTGTGCAGGGGCTGCTGTGCTAGAGGCCTTTTCAGTAGTGAAAACTGTGAGCGTTTGCCCTGAAGGGATATGCCACCCTCAGCCTGTGCCATGGAGAGCCTGAAGAGAGACATCACTTCTCCCTCAGTAAGCAGCCCCCAAGCTTGAGGGTACCAGCCTCAGGCCAGGAGGGGGTCTGGTCAGGACTAGCCTGAGCTGGCACTGGGGCCATCCTTGTCTCTGTGACTGTGACAGTGTTGAGGGCAGCCAGCCCTGCTTGGGGCTTGTCTGGTTCCCCAGGGGCTAGCTGTGCTGTGTGCTTTTGGCAGGAAGCCCCTAGGGGAGGCTGAATTCTTCCTGAGAGTATCTGTGGTCACCTAGCTTTTGACTGTGGTCACTTGGTCATGGGGGTATCCCTCAAGGCTTCTCCACTGGAGTCACTGTCTCTCCTATGTTGAACAGCCATGTGGTAGGGACATGTGAGAGTTGATGGAACCCTCTCCCTTGACAGTCTTGCCCTGTTTAGTACCCATTGGAGCTCCTGCAGAAAGCAGCCTGCACTTGTCCTGGTACCTTTCTAGCCTGTCATTGCTCCCACACTGACCAGCTTACATTCTTCTGCAAGGAAGAGTGCCCCTTGTTTATCCATCTCCCTGTGGATGTGGGAGCATCTTTGTTCCCTCCCCTGTGTACTCCCGTCTGTGCTCCCAGAAGGCTCCACGCACCATGGGGTTCTCTAGGTTCATGCTAAACTCCCTACCTGTCCATCTCTGGATCAGTCTTAGTTGCTGGTTCCTCATTGACAGTTCACAGAGACACCAGGAGCTGGCTGTGTGTGCCCTGTGCTGCCAAGGAGGGGCCCTGTCCACTGAGTGATCAGACCAGGGACAGTGTGTGAGTCATGTGCCCCCAGCACCAACCACCAACAGTGGCCCAAGCCCTATAGGACTTGTCCCACCTCCCCTCTAGCTCCAGCTCTTTTTCCATCAGTGGAACCCCACTTCTAGGGTCCTCCATAGAGGGCATATCTCCTGGGGGCAGGTCTGCCTGTAGAAGATCTGTGACACCAAGTGGTGAACATGCACTGCCTAGGGAGATGCCCTTAGCCCGGCTGGCCAAGGCATTGGAAGTGGCCTCTCACTCCCACTTGCATGATGGGGCCTTGGTGAGAGCAGGGCTGGGATTGTCATGTTGTGGTGCTGAAGCCATGTGTGTGATGGTCAGTGCACCTGGACTCAGTGGGTAGGCAGTAATGGCTATGCCAAGTGGCCTTGTGAGTGCAACAGCAGGGTCACAACTATGTGCCCATTACAGATGATGCTAGAAATGAAGGTTGCATCACATTCCAGCATCACAGACCAAGCCCTGTGGGCTCACAGTGGCAGTAACAGTGGTAGTGTGGCTCCCCTGCTATGGCCCTTGTGTTTCCTGCAGGCCCTGGTGGTCAAGAGAAGCAGCCAGCAGTAGTTCCCCAAGGCAGGGGTTATCCTCAACCAGGCACTGTGGGTCACAACTTCCATGTGCCCTGGACGGACAGAACAGAAGCTCTGAGAAGAAGCGTGGTCGATGAAGGGGGTGAAGTGGGGGCCATGAGGCTGCAGCATGCACACTTAGGCTCTGGGCTGGTGCTGGAGTCTGCACAGCCCGTGTGCTGAGCTGAGGGCAGGTGCCTCGTTCATGCCCTTGGCTGGCAGCCCAATCTGCTTCTGCCTCTCCTTCCACCTTCATGGAGGACAGACCCCTGAGCTGCCCTCGGTGGGTCACTGAAAGAGGCGCCCCCTCACCAGAGCTTGCAGTAGAGGAAAGGAGGCTGTGGACCATGGGAGCCAGGGCCCCAGGGCAGTGAGGGGCCTTTGGCTGGATGGCTGCTGCCTACAACATCCTGGGGGAATGGTGGCGCCTGGGTCCTCACGGGCACTGACCAACCCCTGTGTGCTTTTCTCTGCAGGAGCCAAAGATGCTGACCAGGAAGGTCAGGCTGTGGGACATCAACGCCCACATCACCTGCCGCCTGTGCAGCGGGTACCTCATCGACGCAACCACGGTGACGGAGTGTCTGCACACGTGTATGTGGCTGTGGGCAGAGCAGCTCCCACTTGTGCTCTGCAAGCAGGGCTTGAGGACAAGTCAGAGAGATGGCTGTGCATTGAGAAGTCCTGAGTGGCTCCCATGGGGTGGGGACACCTGAGAACCCACATGTGGTCTGAGTGTGGTATGAAGCAGGGTGCTCACTTCTGACAGGGAGTGGTGCTGGCCTTTTAGCCCTGCACGTGAACTCCTCCCCCAGTGAGGACAGTGTGTGCAGGGGCCTAGGCAGCCTGGGAGGGTAGGCAGGTCTGCAGGCCCCATGAGGCTCTAGTCTGAGCAGGGCGCTGGCAGCACCAACCTAAGTGTGTCTGTCTGACGATTGCTGAGAAGCATTTTGCTTAAACAGTCATTAAAATAAATTAGATACTTATAACAGATGGTTTTTATTGTGTTTTTCACTTGAGAAAATAAAATATTTGCACATTTTTATGGAATTTTTATTTTAAAGTTATATTTTTATACATTGGTGGGCATAATTTTATATGTTAGTTTATTTTCATTGAATTGTATCTAGTTTTGTTGTCCCGTGTTCTGATGCTCCCAGCTCCTCCTTTTAAGTTTTCCGCCCCCAGATTCCTCAGCTCATGCGCTGAGCATGGCAGCTGTCCAGATGGGAGACCCTTCCCTACTCAGGGAGCCATCTCAGCAGCAGCTGTGTTGACCTCCTCATACTCAGCAAGCACAGGGCATGAAGTTTGTCTCTGGCCTGGGTTTTAACTTTCTAACACAGTGCTTTTGGTAACAGTCTGCCGGAGTTGTCTGGTGAAGTATTTGGAAGAGAATAACACCTGCCCGACCTGTCGGATCGTGATCCACCAGAGTCACCCACTGCAGTACATTGGGTAAGTGCTGCTGTATCCCGGTGAGTGTGCACAGTCACGGTGCACTGCAGCCTGGCCCTGGCCAAGGTGCCTTGGCCTGCACTGTGGTACCTGTGTCTACTGCTTACCGGGCCAGGGCTGCCAAGCTGAGGAAGCGCAAGATCAAAGCTCAGTTTACAAGTGTCACAGGAAGTCGGCTGAAGTGAACTTCAGCATGGAGGGGCAGGTGGACCCTGGGGTCCTGGCTGCCCTGGGTCTCAGCAGGTAGAACTCACACCCATGCCAGCACCACTCCAGGGCGGTGACCAGCCCTGACCTAGGCCAGCCGGGCAGAGCGAGTGGTTTGCCCACAGGCTGTGAAATGGCTCTTGGGTTTACAGGATGGCTCTGCAGGAGACATGTTGCCTACACCACGCCAGGGGAGCAGAGAGACTTCTGGAGACAAGTCTTAAGGGAAGAGAGGCATATGTGTTTGTTTTTCACTCTTAAAGTTGTGAAACTTATCCCACACACAGTTTAGAAGCCCATGAATAGCTTAGAGCATCACCAGGGAGAGGCCACTGCAAGGCCAACAAATGAAAACTTCCTGTGCTCAGAGGATCCCTCCACCTCCACTGCCCCCCAGTCAGCATCTCTGCCATTCACTGTCTCTCAGCTTTCTGGACATTGGACCCACATGTTTCCTGTGTGCCCTGCTCCTCTGATGGATCCCTGCAGTATGTGCCACCTAAGCTGACAGCATCCCTGGAGAAGGCCCCACAGCAGTATTTCCCACTTGGTTCTCAGTGTGCTGCTGCTCTGGGCATCCCCCTGTGCCCACCTGCCCCCTCCACTGGCAGCCCCAGCACAGTGTCCCAACTTACTATGCCATAAGACCCACCTTCCTATGCTCTGTGTCCTGCACAGTATGGGCTTAGAGGTGGTTCTGTGAGCATCTCTCCCACCATGCACTGTGTGTGAGCTCAGGTATCTCCCCGAGTGTTGCCTGGCTGCTCGGGCCTCTCTACTGTGGTGGCAGTCAGCAGTACACACTGTACTTCTACCAGTTGCTGTTCTGCGTCCTGGTAGTCATTGTGTATGCACCTGCTTTCTCTCTTGGGTGCAGTTGTGCAGAGCTTGGGCGGGGAGAGCTTCTGCACATGAATTACTGAGGCAGGAATTGATAAGGGGCTTCCCTCTGGTCAGGGTTAGACAGCCTGAGGAGACTGCTCTCCTTGTGCAAGGTGCAAAGGTCTGGCAGCCCCCACACTCTGGGAGGCTGGAACAGGGGCTATCTTAGGGACCAGATGCTCTTGTCATTATCTGAGACCCTCTTATCACAGGCATAGACTGTCACACACAGAGAATGCAGTGGGAGTATCAGGCAGGGCAGGTACAGGGGGCAGCAGTAGGGTAGGGTGGGGCAGGTGCAGGGATGGGGTCAGGTGGGGTGGGGTGGGGCAGGGCAGGTGCAAAGGCCTTGGGGTCTGTGGCTTGGGTCATTGGGTTGGGCTCCACCCCTTGTCTCAGGCCTTTCGGGAGCTCTCTCTGATGTACCTGTGCAATGGCTTATGAGCCACCCTGTAGCAGGCAGAGTGGCAGGGCTGGGTGCAGATGTGTGTCCTGATGTAGACTGCAACTTCCGTGGTGGCTCTTTCTCTGCTTTTCACTGGATGTGTCCCAGGTGCAGCCTTCATAGCCCTCGTGTGTGTGTTTGTGTGTGGCCTTGTTCCGGATGTGGCTTTGCCCACACTGACCTCTCTGATAATTCTGCCCTTCCCAGAGCTGGCCAAAATGGTATTGCTAAGGCTGAACACTTCCTGCGCTTTGGCATTTGCATTTCAGGACACGGACTAGGACAGTGCAGACCAGGGCTAGGGTCATGGTGAGAGAATTGCCCCATGTAGGTCCTTAGCTCTGGACCCACAGGTTCTGGCAGAGACCTCAGGGCCATTGGTGATAAGGGATGCAGCATTTGGTCTGTGCTGTAACCCTGCTGGCCACAAAGACATGGTCATCCATACTGTCCCTGAAGAAAGGGCCCCACATGCCTGCCCCCACTTCCTAGCCTCCCACACTGGACCCCAGCCAGCAGCAAAGCCTGGCCACAGTCAGGGCCCAAATACCCAGCACCCTCTCCTTGTGGGTCAGATCAGTTTTAGAAAGAGCCAGGGTGGGGGACAGCAGAAAGCATTGAGGGGACAATGTACCTGGAAGGCCGCTGTTCTTGGTGTGTGTGAGTGTCCTGGCTGTGCTCTGTGTTGTGCAGCCTGGGTGAGTGCCCTGCTTACTGATTGCCTGAGACCTTCAGCGCCTGGTAGCCACCAGCACTCAGAACCCTTCCTGGAAGTGGCAGCTAACATTCTGACAGGGCCCCCGGTCACTCACAGTGGCTGTTTGCCCACAGGTAGCCGCTGTGACTGGCCCCAGGTGCTGAATTTCTATAAATTTTGTAAAACCCAACCTTTTGTTAGTTATTTAGACATTCCTAGTTTGGGCATACAGGGCTATGGCTTCATCCCAGGAACAGCCTTCATAGCTCTTTCATTTATTTTTTTTTTTTTTTT